CTTGCCAGCATCAACCATGCCTATACAATATTCTGTAGTCAAAAGCACTAGTGATTAAAACTCTGGAGTCAGACCTGTGTTTGAAGGTTCTGCCATTTTCTCATCACATGACTTGGGAAGTCACTTAACTTCCTCAAGCCTCAGTTAGTTCCCTCTTCTGCAAAATGGTATCTCTTTCATAGGTTGCTGTGAGGACACAGCACTTCATTCATTGAAATTCAAGAAAATAGCCACATGTACTTCACTCATTGAAATTCTCCCAGTAACTAGTTATAAGGGCTCAACAAATTAGTTATAAGGGTTCATCAAAGAATAATTAATGAAGGCATTTAACACATAGTAACCCCTTAATTTTAAAAACCTGAACTGTTAAATAAATATGTAACAACTAACCTGGATAGCAATAGCCTTAGTCTCAGAGAAGTTAAATAAATTGCCTGAGGTCATACAGGTAGGAGGTGGCAATCCAAGATTTAAATCCAGACATTCTGACTCCCAAAGACAATCTGCCGACCACCCCACATTAATTTGCATCTCACTACTTCAAGCTCCCAGGAGCTTCGAATGCTCAACTTGTCACAACGTTTTCCTCTACTCTTCCTTCTTTCATCCTGCTAACTGCCCGCCACCACATGCACACACCCATGGGCATTTCTCAAAGCACCGGAATCATGTCTCCTACTCTCTATACCATGGTTCATGTTTCTGGGCTCACCGACCCCTTTGAGCAACTGAGGAAAGCCATGGAACCTTTCCCCATAAAAATGTACAAACTTACATATGCACAATTTTACAAATAATTTCAGGGTATTCACAGATAACTCTGCTTCACTCTTTTCCCCACAGTTATCTGTGTTTAAAGCAGCTAGCATACTGCCTCCTGCACATCAATCACTCATCCAGTGGTTTATATCATTATAGCAATTATAATCCACGCCTATCAAAACATAACCCTAGGCCGGCCCGGTGGCGCACTGCTACAGTGTGCCGCTTGGGAGCGCGGTGGCGCTCCTGCC